ATGTTAGGTGAGTATGAGTATGTGTTTGTTTCGAAAAAAAGAATTGAATCGGTCGGATTTTCGGGCGAAAATGCAAAATCCCGTAGCCGTGTTTAGGCAAAATTCTGGTTTTTCGGAAAACTTCGAAAATTCATAACTCTTGAACCGTAAGTCGGTTTTGACCCCCGTTCGAAGTGTTGGTAAGTTAACGAGATTATATTTCTAGAAAAAATGGATTTGAGGTCTGTACCTGGTTCAATTATAGCATAAAATTGAAAACATATTGTTGTGTTATTGGAGTTGACCATTTGACTTACACCTGAAAGGACTTAAATAACATGATGACTTAGATGAATTAGACCTACACTGATGCAGAGTATACACTTAGAAGACTAAGTTAAATATAAAATAATATGGTCAAATTTTGGGGTATGACAGTTGTCCCTATTTAATTATCTTCAACCCGAGAGCATGAGTAACGACAATTTTTATGTAATCGTGGTGGTAGATAATTAAATACAAGAGGACCCAATTTTTTTCCCATGAAAGACGGATATGGAAGTCATCAGGCCTATACGAAGTCCTGACTGTGTCGGGGATATGAGAAATTTGATTGTCATTGGTATAAGAACTATCATTAATACTCAACTTTTATCGGTGTAAGAGTTGATTTAAAGTTACTGGTGTATGAATCAATCTAAACATGTCACCAGTGTAAGAATCGATATTAAAACCCTCGTTGGTATAAGAACCGATCGAAATAAAACCATCATCGGTGTAAGAACCGAAATAAAACGTCATCGGTGTAAGAATGAAATAAAAACCGTCTTTGGCATGAAAACAAAAATAAGATTGTTATCGGTGTAAGAACTGAAATAAAATGTCATCGGTGTTAGAACCGAAATAAAACGTCATCGGCATAAGAATTGAAATAAGAGTGTTCTCGGTGTAAGAACCAAAATAAAACATCATCGGTGTAAGAACCGAAATAAAATCGTTATTGGTGTAAGAACCGAAATAAAAACTGTTTATCAGGATAAGAACCGAAATAAAAACTGTTTATCAGTATAAGAACCAAGATAAACATCAGTGGTGTAAGAACCAAAATAAAATAGTCATAAATGTAAGAATTGAAGTAAAAACCATTATTGATATAAGTGATCCGATGTTACACACGGGTCAAAAAACGAGTTTAAGAGTGTAGTTTAGGATATCAACACTCGAATTTTATATCACAAGGACTCTTGGCAAAATTAATCAACTAAAGAAATAATATAAGGTGTTTTAGGTTCGATTAAGAATACAAAAAAAATAAGTGATTATGAAATAAGCTAAAACGAATCAACCTATTGTTCGGTTTCTCAACTTATCATTGGTAATTATAAATCTAAAATCATAAGAGGATTATAATCCCTTTTCAAATACAACATCAATCAACAAGCGTAATCAACACTATGCGATTTACACTCCTATTTTTCGAATTAAGCAAACAGAATAAAGACTGCATGAATTAACATAAAAGCTATGGTAACACGCGATGAATATTAGTGAATGTAAATCAATCAAAATTAATCAAAACATATTCTATATAACTTGAATAAAGCATACAAGACATAAAACATAATATTGAAAGGGAAAAGAAATTTGACTGAAAATTATAAAATCTTAAATTGTCGACAAAAACCGAATACAACAAATCAGCCACGTGAACTTAGTTCTCCATGAAACTCATATACAAGCCTCTAAATTTCATGAATTCAAAATATGGTTACTGTAGCAACGAAAATCCTAATGTAACAAAAGGAAAATTCGGGCCCTTATGGAAACCAACCCGAAAATTACAAAAACCAGCCCAAACTAATTATTTTAATTAAGTCTAGAACTTCAACAAACTATTAGACCCTGCTTCACTCTGAATCAACTTTTGACTTCAACACAAAACATTTAGTTCTTTATCTTAGCTTTCCAACGCCTATTAGAACGTGTCAATCTAATTCTTGTAGCTTAAGTTATGGTCTGCACCGTGAACAGATATGAAATAACAATTTATGCTGAAAACAAAGTACGAAAATAAAATAAAACCATAAATAAACTTAAATATAAAAACACACTAAACTAGTAAAAATTATGAAATAAACTATAGAGTTGCCTAAGTATAATAGTAGAAGAAAGTGCATTAAGATGCACTGATCAATAAAAACCGAAGTAAAACCAACGTCACTGTAAGAATCAATCTAAAAATCGAGATGTAATTTAATCCTACTGATGATAAAGCTTGATCAGAAGCTTAGATCAACATGGGTCCATTGGGGATATACTACGAAAATTATCCACTGAGGGAACTTCTCCGAAGAGTCTTACTAGGGACCTCCACTGAGGAAGCTTGCTTGAGAACTGCGACTCGCAGGGGATAGACTTTTCAAAAAATGTTTATTGGGAAAGATTCTTTAAAGGATCTGATAGGGAAAACCTATGAGGAAGGTTTGTTGAGCGATGCTCTTTGGAGAAACTTACTTGCAATGGAGATATTATTGATGTACTCATTGGGGAAATCTTACTTCTAGGATCGATTCAAGGTTTCGACTAGGGATACTTGACAAGGGGCTTTACCAACATGATACGTGAAAAAACCCAGGGCCATTGAATGAGATTACCAAGGAAATTCCAATATCTCATCTAGCGCGTAGGATCAATTGACTAACATGGGGTCAACTGATCAAAGGATGATGATTGAAAGTTCACAAAGATAAGGGTGGGTGGGTGCGTGCGCATAGGATAAGTCAGAGTAAGCCAAATGATTAGTTGCCAAGACATCACTTGTCCATGAACCAAAGACGCGTGAAAAGGGTATATAAAGGTAAGTCCTTCAGAAAACATTCATTTCCTCTTATTCTTTCTCTCTCCACCCCCTCATCCTCTCTCTCATCTATCTATGTTCTCCTCCCTCTCTTTAAAACTCAACCCTTCTGACCACCTCCTAAACACTTCGGCCACGATATACACCACCATAAACCACCACCTTCATCGTGTTCTTGTGAACACGACGGAGATTCAACTCAGAACCTTCATCCACTCATGAAGCCTAACCTAAATTCCCATAACCCTAACCTAACAAAGAAAAACCCTAAGAACCCTTACCTAACAAAGATGAACCCTAACATTTAACCAACATAAACCGTAGCTTTCCCTCATGAACTCTAACTTACCCAAAAATGTACTTTCATCACTTTCCTCAACCTTTAACCCTCTAAATCCTAACATACCCAGACCCTAACTCAACCTACCCATATCAACCTCAAACTATATATCGGACACCCATAAACACTAATCCAAACTCAAAACACCAATATCAAACATCAATCCTCAAACCCTAATTCTTCAAAACAGAAATAACTAGACAGAACACTAACGCAACAAAAGTAACAAGACAGACATCAGATTAAAACACTAAACACTACAAAATACTCCCTATGTTCCTTTTTAAGTGTCACTTTTTTGATAAATTTTTGTTCCTTTTTAATTTTCACTTGCAAAGTTCAAGGTAACATTAATTGCACTTTTGTCAAAATTACCCTTTAAGTATATATTATAGAGAAAGAAAAATAAAATGAATGTAATAAATAATTAAGGGTATTATAGGTAAAAGGAGAATTATTGTTTAAAAAGTAACAATAATAATTAGTTTTCTTGGTATGTGTAAAAATTCAAAAAATGACAATTAAAAAGGAACGGAAGTAGTATCTAATAGCATGCAACAATCAAAACAACATCATCAATTCCATCAAGAACATTCAACATCATATCACTAACATGATTGCCAGTCTTAACTAGGCACCAATAATGTTAAATATTGCCATTGTCATTCATAATAGATATGTACAAAATAAATTTGTCTACTTTTCTAATCCTTCGTTCACCTCCATCAAGCACTCCATGTAACCAACTATTCAAGCTAGTTTCAAGTTGCTCGAAATTCCAGCTAACCTAAAAGAGATCTTTATAGCTAACCTTCAATAAAAAACATACCCAATAATACTCAATTTAGAATAAATGAAGGAAAATATTTAAAAGAAATGTGTGAGGAAATAGTTCACAAAACATCTCTATTTATATAAAATTTTGTCTTGAATACATTACAATTCAATTGACGTGCCTTATTAAAATATAATATAAAATATTATAAGTCCAATTGACGCACCCTTTAATTTTAAAGAGGTCGCACAAATTGAATTATCGCGTTTTTATTGCACAAAATGCATATATCAATTGAGCGCCAATTGAATTGACTTTTTTTATACAACTTTAAATAAAAATTTTGTTTATTTGAAACCTGAATAATTTAAAATATAAGAAAAAACCTTAGTTATTAGGAGAATGAAATTGAGAAAATTGATTATGTGGGTAAAAAATTCATTAATTCATCCAATTTTTCTATAATAAACAACAAATAAGAGATGAAAAGGGTGATGATAATCTTAGACATGAAAACAGTACCAAATCTTAAAACGTGAAATCTAATCTACTAGAAAATGATTGTACAGAGTAGTAGAAAGAGACAGTAGAATCAATCAAAATCAAAAACCAACTGTAAAAAACAAGTAACCAATAAACATTCGGATCTCAAACACACAAAATTTCAAATTCACAAAATTAGCAACATTGAGATCCGAATTCTTCATTCTATCATCATCACATCACAGTAAAATTCACAAACCAATCAATCCCCATTCCCCACTGTCACCAAATTGTCTCACTCATAAAGGCACTAACAACTACTTTCAATTTAAATTTAAACACCCTTTTGTTTTGCAACATTAAAAAAAAACAATAAAAAAACAAAAACAAATTGTTTGTGAATCAAATACAACAACAACGTTGGTGGTTTCTACCTTTGCCTTGTTTCACACCATTTTTGCTTCAAAAGACCCATCACTTTATTTAACAAAAAGCTTAAAACTTTTCAACCAATTCAGTGACCCATTTGCCGGAATATTCTTTCTCCGGTGAGATTCCGGCGAAAAATGGAGGTGGAGAGTGAAAAGGCGGGATCTGATGGAAAAGTTTGGAACTTTTGTAGAATGCCGTTTTGGCAAACGAGTCACAATCCTTCATCTTCATCAACTAATACTACTACTTCTTCTTCTACATCTTACATGCATAATGTTCATCACCAAAGCCAGAGTGTTCATTCTACTGACAGATCTATTCCTCAATCTTCAGCTACGGTTTCATCTGTGGCTAAGTCTTTGCTTCCAACAAGGAGAAGGCTTCGTCTTGATCCTCCTAACAAGCTCTACTTTCCTTGTATGTGTCTCTTGAAACTTGTTTGCTCATTAACATGTTTTTTGTGTTTATTTATTTTTAGATTATTGTTTTGTTTTAATTGCTTGGTCTTAAGTATGGTGAATAGGATGTTTTGTTCATAATTATGTTACAATAAGGTAAATTTGATTATAATGAATGGAATCTAGGATATGATTTGATTTTCATGGAGATGTTAATGTTTAGTCTTTCCTAGTTTGGATTATCTTTTAGTTTTTAAAAGATTGATTTTCATTTACAAATAAGCTTATTGATGATTGTGGAAAAATTGAGAGGGTTTAAGTAAAATTGAAAGGTATAGACTAATTTCAAGTTAATGAGAAGTTTCTGTTGGAAAGTTTCATATTAGCTATGTAGCACCGACATCTCTGAAAAAAGACGTATCTGTGTTGGTGGACACCGATACCGACACTTCTGATTACCTTTAATCATTTTTTTCAAATTATTACTGGTGTCCCTGAGTCAGTGGAGATGTCGTGTCCTTGCTTCATAGCATATTATTGATAGATTTCTCTTTGTATAAGGATATTTATCTAAAACTGACTGTGATTAATGTGTGGCTTTGTTTTGAAGATGAACCTGGTAAGCAAGTTAGGAGTGCAATCACAATTAAAAACACTTGCAAGTCTCATGTAGCTTTCAAGGTGTGTGGTTTATGTTTCCATTATTTACTTGTATTTAGAAATGATGTTTGGCAGAACATTATCATGATACTCATAGGATAAATTTGTGACTATTTTGAATGTTTCAACCCGTTTTGTTAAATGGCCGTGCTAAATGGCCACACCATGGCAGCTTTCCTGACAACCGCTGTATGCAGGTTGTGAAGGAATGTTTGCCATGGCGGTGCCATGGGCCGCGCCATGGTAGCTTTTCTGACAACTGCCATATCCGCTGTTGAATTCACTACTTAATACTAATATGATACTTTCTTTTGTCTTAGTTTCAAACAACTGCGCCTAAAAGTTGTTACATGCGCCCTCCGGGCGGCATTCTTTCACCTGGTGAAAGTATAATTGCCACGGGTAATATCTCCTTCTAAACTTGTGTTAACCAAAAACTATCAAATGCTTGGAATTTAGCAAATCCTCTTACAATTGTCTCGTTTATTTGGCAGTGTTCAAGTTTGTTGAACCACCAGAGAACAATGAGAAACCAACTGATCAAAAAAGCAAGGTTAAATTCAAAATCATGAGCCTAAAAGTGCAAGGTGAAATGGACTATGTACCTGAACTGGTAATGTGCTATTTCTCTTCAACCTTTGTAGTTTTCATGATTGTTTATATCCGATAAAATCACATTATAGTTGCAAAAGTTTGTTTAACCAAATGTGTCGATCAAGCTTAGTTTTTATTTTAATGAACCAAATACGAAAACTTTGTTTTGAAAACCATGATGCTGATCACAAACTATAAATATGATTTCTTCTTGCAGTTTGAAGAGCAAAGAGATCAAGTAGCTGTAGAGCAAATTCTTCGGGTTGTTTTTCTTGACCCTGACCGCAACAGCCCTGTAAGATTATTACATTCATCTCAAATACATTTCATCATGTAAAATTTTTATTTGTAGTCATAGTTGAAAAGTTTTGATTCTTGTGAAGGCCATGGATAAGCTTAAACGACAGTTAGCTGAGGCGGAGGCTGCATTGGAAGCACGGAAGAAACCGCCAGAGGAGACCGGTCCACGAGTTGCTGGAGAGGGACTTGTTATAGATGAATGGGTTAGACATTTACATCTTTAACTTATTTGAGTTTATCCACTTACATAAACACTTCTGAGACTGTTTAAGAGAGCTTATGAAAACAACTTATAACACGTTCATAAGCAATTTTCAGACCATTTCTCTGAGATAGCTTATGAAAACAACTTAAGAGATACGAAAACAATGCTAGTTTCATTTTTTTGTTATAAAAGTAACATATATAAGCACTTATATGATAGGTGCTTATGCTATAAACACTTAATTATTTGTTTATATTGTATTGTCTCTCTCTGAACATACATTTATTGAATAATTGTTCCTTGTGTAGAAAGAAAGAAGGGAAAGATACTTGGCGAAGCAGCAGGTTGAAGGAGTTGTTGTTGATTCAGTGTAAACTGTAAAGTGCATATTTCATTCTTCTTGTGACCTTATGTCAAAGATCTTTTGTATGTTCTGAAATTTAATTTCTTGGAGGCATGAATCTGTCAATTAATGGTTGAGTGACATATACAATTTGGTATGAAGAGATATTGAGAAAACACTTATTTGTGAAATGCATTTTCACTTCATGTAATTATTGCTATTTTTGTGCTATTGGAACACTATTTTCAACAACTTTATAACTGTAGGAATGGATTTGGTTTATTAAAAGTTTAAAATTCACTTCCGATAATAGAATGTGAATTCGAACTTACGACATTCTATTTGTTCACCTAGTGAGTTCTATTCGCGAAACTATTAGACAATTTTTTTTTAATAATTGATGTTTGTATCAACTTTATCACTTGAGATCCGGTGGAGCCACAAATCTTACCACTAGTTATTTTTATTCTAATAGAGTTTACTGGCTTGGCTTGGCTTGTATTATACATAGAGATAATCAATAGATAATTAGTTAGCTCTCACTATTGTTTAATTGTTGATTTAACTAACTTCTTAAGATAAAGTAATACAATATCTTTTGTAGGGAAAAAACAAAGATAATGTAACTGTCAAGATCAACAAGTGGGCATGTCCACATAAAAGGTAGGAATATGAGTTTGTCATGAAAGCGCATTATTTAAATGCATGTTGTCATGGTGAACCTTGACAACATTATTTAATACCACCTTGACAACATTATTTAAGTGGGGTATTAGTATAAATAAAAATAACTAGTTTGAGCTTTTTTAACCATCTTGTGGGTATAATATGTTTTGGACAGAATTTTTATTCTATACTCCTATAATTATTCCTATATTCTTTCATAAATATTTTTGAACTAAAATATCCTCATAAATAAATATATTTTTTAGAATTCTTGTACTTTTTATTTACGTTGTCAAAAGACTTTTGAAAAATACAAAATATACTCTCCAAATCAGAACATTTCATCAAAGACATCCAGTTTACATTTTGATCTCCGAAATACTTCATCAAAGACATTCAGTTCACATTTTGGTCTCCGGAACAGTTAAAGGAAGAGTTACGGATTGAAATATTTTAATTTGTGGACCGGAACTCATTTTAAGAGTCTTCCAGTTTGTTAAGGTATTTACCGGAAGACTTTACAAATGTGTTTCGGTTCAATTTTGCTTGCATTCCGGAAGAGTCATGAAATGAGTTCCGGTATTGTGCTTTTCGAGTTCTGGAACTCATTTGATATGTGTTTCGGTATTGTTTTTTTTTTCATGTTACTTTTTTTTAACTTATTTTGTTTGTTTTTTTTTTCCAGTGGTGCGAACACGAGGCGCTAGGACAACAGAGGGTGCTTTAGAACGGAGCACTTCATCGAGATTTGTTGATGAAGAAGATCATATTGGTGCATCCACATCCGCAGCACCTCCGGTTGGTTATCCAGGAGGGCCCTACGATACATCTATATTGGTTAAATACGAGCATCATATTTCCAGACATGTATGGTTTGGTGAGGTAAGTAAACGACATGTATTTGATATTGAATAATATTTGAATTTTTAATGTTTTGTTTTATAATATTCGTACTTTTAATTGTTTTCAGGAAAGAGGTCCGAAGAAAGAGCTGAAGGTTGTTGGACATGGGCTGAAGCTTGTAGCGAGGGTTCCATAACAACTTCCAAGAGAGATGGAGGGTTGAGTTTCTAGATCTGGTCTATCTTCACTCCAAAGAACCATTTTGACAAAGATAGACACAAACCTGATTTCCACATTTGTGGAGAGATGAGATCTAGAGACATCTTCATTTCACATGTAGTTTGGTGAGATGAGCATTACTCTGGATGATGTCTCTTGTCTGCTTCACTTGCCCATCAAGGGAGTGTTATGGCCCCCACAACATATCACAGAAGCGACTGCTATTGGACTTGTTGTTGATTACTTAGGAGTGCCACAGTATATGGCACAAGAACATGTCCGTCATTACAGGGGTTCTTACTATAAGCTGGAGTGATTATACGATTTATTCAAAGAGCATAGAGTTGCTTCTAGATGGGCATATACGACCAAAGCGTATTTGCTGATGTTGGTGGGTTCCATAATTTTTGCCGACAAGACCTTTACACTTGTCGAGGCTCGATACCTCCTACTATTTATGGACTTAGACATATTATCAGGATACAATTGGGGAGCTGTTGTGTTGGTTACCCTTTACAGTCATCTTGGAGATGCTTTTATGTTCGGTTACAAACAGCTTGGTGGTTATCCTACTCTTCTACATATATTTATTTTAATTTAGTTTATTATATTTTAATTAATTTTATTTAGTATATAAATTTAATTTTTTTTATTTTATTATGTTATGAATAGAATTATTTAGTTAATTAATATTATTAATTTTGTAACGGTGTTGGATTCACGAGTATTTTCCAACACTTAGAAAAATGGGAGAGAATTGGATACCAGCGCAAAATTGTGGTCTCCTTCGAGTGATGAGATGGTCCTATAAGCAAGGAGTCCTGAAGGTGGATGAGTTGCAACCTGTTTTGGACGAGCTGACACCTGTCGCTGTCATCTGGAGGTCGTTCGAGGATCATAGAGTATGGCGTCAATTTGATGAGATATGCCTGTATAGGGGGTGTCTGCAACTTCAATTTGATGAGTATGGCTTATAGCAGAGCTTGTTCCTTTTGACAAATTCTTCTTATTCATGTTCTGTCCTTGAGCACCTTGAGAGGAAATAGCCAATGGATGCTAAGGGGCTCTTTTGGTAACCACCTGATGAGGATGACATCTTGGCGCAGGCCTAAATGCGGGTTGACACGAAGTTTCCTCATGTGTGTATCCTTGATGTGGAAAAAAATATAGGAGGTGGTGAAGGATTGTTGACTTGAATGCCTTGAGACGTGAATGAGATCGTCTTGGAGTCAATCAAATCCTGAACCTTGCTCCTGAGCACCTTACAGTTTTTAGTTGAATGCCCATGTGCTCCAGTATGGTAGTCACATCGGGCGTTGGCATCAAAGCCTGATGGGTATCGAGGGATCACTAGATTCATCTCATTTGGCACTATTAATCCACCTTTGATCAAATCTGGTAAAATCTGATTGTATGACATTGGTAGCGGAGTGAAATACCTCTTTGGCTTCCTTAGCCTTTGAAGAGCATGCTGACGCGGTTGACGACGGTCTAACCGTTGATACTGAGGAGGTTCCTGAGTTGGAAGAACCACGAGAGATGACGAAGTGACAACTTCTTTGGGTGCAACAGGGTGGGAGTGCCCCTTTTTCTTCATCAAGTTCTGCAAAGTTTCCAAAACCCAGTTCATTTGACCTTTGAGAAATCTGATCTCCTCCTTCATGGCTTTCTGGCCTTTCAAAAGCTCGTTCATTGTCACCATTTGTCCAGAATGCGTACTAGGTATCCCTTCTGATATAGGAAAAGAAAGATGAGACCCAAGGTCGAGAAATGCAAATGTAACAACATGTTCATGTAATGCGAATGCAAACCAAATGGTTTCAAAGAACTCAAAACCAAAGTTGCAAACATTTTTGGAAAAACATCAATTCATTAATAATAAGAAACGTTACAACTTCAAAGTACAAATCCAGAAGCCCAAAATACAAGAGGAAACCTAAATTAAGATAAAAGGAACCAGACAATAAGATTTTGTTAGGCTTTTCCTTCATAGGGAACCTAAATTGACGCCTCACAAGAACAGGGTTGTAATTAATTTCCCCTCCATTTTAGCAAAAAGTATCATGTTCTGTTCCTCAAGTTTTTTCCATATCATCCAATCATTCCAACAAGTTCTAAAAGGCTCAAGGAAGCTCTAAAGGGTGTTATCTTGTAACTGTGATAGCTGAGAAGAAACCTTGGATTTTCTCCAAGAGGTAAGATTTCTGACTTTTAAAATCTTCATGTTCATGCACTATTTTGATATCTTTTGAATAGCAAGATGTAGTGTGTATTATTCTTTGTTAGTTTGAACCATTACTAGTTTCATTTTGTTTAAACAGCTGATGTTGTAACATGCTGAAGTTTTTTTATGTTGCACTGTTGATGAGCGTTGTGTGTTTTATATATTGAGTTTTAGGTCAACTAAACATTATATTCGTGTTCCTTGTGAAAATTGATTTGAGTTTATTTTTTATATCATTTAAAATGGTTGATAAATGAAGGAGTTAAGGGGAAAGGATGTTCTTACCATGGAAGGTGTTTAGGGCACGAAGAGAGAGAGAGAGAGAGAGAGAGAATGATGAAGGCGAGGACGAAGAAGATGAAGTTGAGTGGAGTCTGAGGTGGAGATGATTGGGCGTGATGTGGTGCTGAGGTGGCCATTTTGGATTGTTCTTAAAATAAAATGAATTGGAAGCATGTAGTTATTGGATAAGGGTGTAGCACCGTTGATCAAGAAGGAGGGTTTATGTGTTGTGTTGAGCGAAGGTTCTGGGGTTCGATCCCCCCATACCTTTTTAGCCCTTTTTATTTTCTTTTCTGAATTACCTTGTCCTCAAATATTATTTCTTGGTATCATCATTAATTCACAATGCACTGGTAGCCTAGATGGCCTTGGTTTTGGTCTAGATTGCTTAGGGCGTGGGTTCAAACCCCATTAGGTGCATCCCCTTTATTTTTAATACTTTTTTTTTATGATTTCCTTTACAATTTGATATACAAATTTCTGCCCAAAGCTTTTGCTAATAGGTTAAAGGTGATGCTTGATAAATGTATGGCGGAGGAACAATCGACATTTATGGAGGGTCGTTCTATTCTGGATAATGTGATGATTGCTATAGAGGTTACCTGTGCTCTTAAGAGAAAGACTATAGGAAATAAAGATCATTTGGCCCTTAAGGTTGACATTAGTGAGGCGTATGATAGATTGGATTTGAGTTTTCTTCGTGGTATGCTCTAAAGAATGGGTTATATTGATCGATGGATTCATTGGATGATGATGTGTGTTGCTTTGGTGTATTATACTGCTTTTGTAAATTTAGA